CATATACAATATTCAAAGAGAAAAAATATTTCTCTTATTTAAGTATGTGTAAGGCAGATGTTACTACAATTTCTGGTAGTAATAATCTAATTGAAGGCTCTGGAAGAGCTACTATAACTCTACCTAAAGGAACAATACTTATCATAGAGAATACGATGTTCTCCTCCAAGTCCAAGAGGAAATTGTTGAGTTTTAAAGATATCCGCCGAAATGGATATCATATTGAGACAATAGATGAGAATAATCTTGAATATCTCATCATTACCAAGAATGTCTCTGGCCAAAAGAGAGTTATTGAGAAGTTTCCATCTTTATCTTGTGGCATGTATTGGACAAGAATTAGTGCAATTGAGGCACATTCTATTGTAAACCAAAAGGTTACTGATTCCAATACTTTTGTACTTTGGCATGATCGATTGGGACACCCTGGATCAATTATGATGAGACGGATTATAGAAAACTCAAATGGGCATCCATTATAGAATTTAAAGATTCTTTTAAATAATGAATTTTCTTGCACTTCTTATTATCAACACCAACAAAGGTTGGGATTGAGTCCCCTTCGTTTTTGAAACGTATACAAGAAGACATTTGTGGAACTATTCACTCACCTATTGGGTCGTTTAGATATGTTATGGTCTTAATAGATGCATTTTCTAGATGGTCTCATGTGTGCCTATTGTCATCTCGCAACCTCGCATTTGCAAAATTAATGGCACAAATAATTCGATTACGAGCGCAATTCCCCAATAATCCAATTAAGTCTATTAGACTTGATAATGCTACTGAGTTTTCATCTTAAGCATTTAATGATTATTGCTTATCAATTGGGATAAAAGTGGAACATCATGTAGCTCGTGTTCACACTCAAAATGACCTTGCAGAGTCTTTAATTAAACATTTATAATTGATAGCAAGACCGTTACTCGTGAAAATGAGGTTGCCCACTTCTGCTCGGGGTCACGCCATTTTACATGCAGCAATGCTAGTTCGTCTCAGACATACAAATTATCATAAATATTCTCCGTTGCAATATTTTGGGTCATGAACCTAATATATCCCATTTAAAATTTTTTGGATGTGCGGTATATGTGCTTGTAGCACCGCCATATCGCACCAAAATGGGCCCCCAAAGAAGGTTAGAAATATATGTTGGGTTTGAATCGCCCTCCATTATTCGATACCTCGAAACATTAATAGGGGATTTGTTCACTGCCCGATTTGCAGACTGTCGATTCGATGAGACACTTTTCCTAAAATTAGGGGGAAAAAATGGTGAAACCAAACGGGAAATTTTGTGAAAAAATCCATCATTGTCTCATCTTTATCCACGTGCCTCTATTTGTGAAAAGGAGGTGCAAAAGATTATTCATTTACAAAAAATAGCAAATCAAATGCCAGATACATTTACGGATCTGAAAAGGATAACAAAATCACATATCCCTGCAGAGAATGTTCCAATCCGTATTGATGTCCCTGTTGGACAATCTTCTAATGTCATAGCTAATGAGTCAAAAGAACGCCTAAAACATGGCAGACAATTAGGTTCTAAGGATCGAAATCCTATAAAAAGGAAAACAAATGATCAAGATGACACTACGAAAGAGTCTCATGAAGAAATCCACGATTTAACCAATCCTGAGATTCATGAGAAAATCACTGAGCCTGAGACTCAAGAAAATAAAGAATTATCAATAAATCCAATCGATATTGAGACAAATTTGAATCGATTGGATATAGTGGTGGATTATGTCTTTGCATATAATGTTGCATCTAGCATTATACAAGATAGTGAGGATCTTGAACCTCAATCCGTTAGAGAATGTCGACAAAGACGTGATTGGCCAAAATGGCAAGAAGCAATCGAATCAGAGTTGAATTCACTTGCAAAACGTGATGTTTTTGGGCATGTAGTCCAAACACCTAATGGTGTTAAGCCTGTTGGCTATAAATGGGTCTTTGTATGCAAGAGGAATGAGAAAAATGAGGTACAAATATATAAGGCATGCCTTGTTGCACACGTATTTTCACAAAGGCCTGGTGTCGATTATGAAGAGACATATTCACCCGTTATGGACGCTATAATGTTCCGTTATCTCATTAGTTTTGCTGTCCATGAAAAGCTTGACATGCATTTAATGGATATGATTACCGCCTACCCTTATGGCTCACTTGATAATGAGATATACATGAAAATTCCCGAGGGATTTAAAATGCCTAACGCATATAATTCAAAGTCCTGGGAAATATTTTCAATCAAATTGCAAAGATCTTTGTATGGTCTAAAGCAATCAGGACGAATGTGGTATAATCGTCTTCGTGAGTATTTATTAAAGGAAGGTTATATAAATGATGTCATTTGTCCATGTATTTTTATAAAGAAAACAACATCGGAATTTGTTGTACTTGCCGTATATGTCGATGACATAAATCTTATTGGAACTCCTATAGAACTCCAAAAGGCAATTGATTATTTAAAGAAGGAATTCGAGATGAAAGATCTCGGAAAGACAAAATTATGTCTTGGTTTGCAAATTGAACATTTGGCAAACAGAATTTTTGTTCATCAATCTGCCTACATAGAAAAGGTATTAAAACGGTTTTACATGGATGGAGCACATCCATTAAGTACTCCGATGGTTGTTCGATCACTTGATGTGAATAAGGATCCATTCCGACCTCAAGAAAGGAATGAAGAGCTACTTGGTCCTGAAGTACCATATCTTAGTGCAATTTGTGCACTAATGTATCTTGCTAATACTACAAGGACTGACAAAACCTTTTCAGTTAATGTCTTAGCAAGATATAGCTCTGCTCCTACAAGGAGACATTGGAATGGAATCAAACACATATTGCGGTATCTAAAAGGGACTAGCGATATGGGCTTATTTTATAGCAATAATTGCAGTCCCGATATTGTTGGTTATACTGATGCTGGGTATTTATCTGACCCACGCAAGGCTCGATCTCAAACAAGTTATGTGTTTACCTGTGGAGGCACTGTCATATCTTGGCGATCGACTAAGCAATCAATTGTGACTACTTCATCTAATCATGCTGAGATAATTGCTATTCATGAAGCAAGTCGAGAATGTGTGTGGTTGAGGTCTATAATACATCTTATTCGAGACAAATGTGGTTTGAAATGTGACAAACTACCCATAATTTTTGTATGAAGACAATGCAGCTTGCATAGCCCAATTGAAGAGAGGATTCATAAAAGGAGATAGGACAAAGCACATTTCACCAAAACTATTTTTTACTCATGATCTTCAAAATAATGGTGATATCAATGTGCAACAAATTCGTTTAAGTGATAATATGGGTGATTTGTTCACCAAGTCTCTACCGACGTCAACCTTCAAGAAGCTAGTGTACAAGATTGGGATGCGAAGGCTCACGGATGTGAATTGATGCTCTCATCAGGGGGAGTTAATGCGCGTTGCACTCTTTTTTCCTTACAAGATTTTGTCCCACTGGGTTTTCCTTGCAAGGTTTTTAACGAGGCAACCAAAAGGCGTATGGTTAGATATGTGTACTCTTTTTTCTTTACTAGAATTTTTTTCCCACTGAGTTTTATTTTAGTTAAGGTTTTAACGAGGCACATTATCTGTTGAATAGATATTCAAGGGGGAGTGTTATAAATAGAGTTTTATTGAAGGTGAATGTTTATATTTTTAGAGAGATTTTAGGGATTTTACTTGGTGGCTAAGTCACTCTATCCCTATAAATAGAGGGGTCATATTACATTGTAATTCAACTCAAAGCAATAAGAATTCTAACTCTTTCTTTGCAAAATTTTTCTTCATTGTTTTATTTCAATTTTTACATTTTACTAAATAGTAACAATTTTAGAGAAGTTATATTGTGAGTTTCAATTTGGATGATTACTCGTGTTAAATGTGTTCCTAATGAGAGATTCTTAATGGTGCAATTAGTTGTTCTCGTTACCTTGATCTGATCACCTTTGAGCAGATATCAATAGATTTTTATGGCATTAACAGGATAAATTGCATTCTTTCTATAAGTACATTATGTGATCCCTTTAACCTGCTAGAAAAGAAGAACGAATATTTATAAAAGGTAAAGTATTTTGAAATGAGAATTTGTACCTATTGATATATGTCTCTATACATAGGTATATGGTGCATTTATGTGAAACCTTCCACTTATTTATTGCAAATAAATTCCACTCCAATTATCAAATAAGAAATCTCCATTTTAAAATAATAATTTAAATAGGAAGCCTAGAACTTTCACCAACGTCTGATAATAATTATCAAGAACTTTCACCAACGTCTCTAAGGTTGTGTTCTTTCATCTTTGTACTTCTTATGAATTGCCTTATAATTTCTTTATTATTACATTATTTTTGCATAATAATGAATTCTTTGTGTTTTACTTTTAACTTATACTCTTTTCCCATTTTGCACGTTATCCTTTTTATTTTTGAACGCAATATAAAAAATTTCAACTAATCACGAATATAAACCGTAATAAGAAAAGGTTGATCAAGTGAAAATAAAAAGAATAGGAACATACATTATATAAGAATGTAAATCAGAGAGTTCGTGCTTTGCAAAAATATTGAAGAGATTATGGTAAATCTTAAAACAAAAAAAATAATTACGGCTAATTGTAAAGGGAACCGACATTAAACGTGCAAAACACAAACAACTCCCATAGTTTTTTTTTTTTTTTTTTTTTGGACCAAAATAAATAAATAAATAAATAAATAAAACTCCCGTAGTTTTTTATTTTTTATTTTTTTATTTTATACAACTCGCTTAGTTAGATGCACGTTATCTAGGAATCAATAAGGTGGACCCTTCCATTATTAATAAATCCAAAATTTAAGGGTAATTTAATCCAAATCATAATTCTTAATTGTTGCCATATAAGCAAACACAATCATAAAATCATACTTTAATCGCAATAAGCAGATATTATTATTTTCATAAAAAGTTGTTCAGATTTAAAAGGGTGTCACTGTCGGCTGTCCAAATACATTAGTCAATCAATATTCTTCATTCCTCTCTCTCTCTCTCTCTCTCTCTCACACACACACACACAAAATGCAGAAATGGCCGAAGAAGAGAACACAGTATCCTCTCATAGCGCTCATCTTCTTCGTCTTCATAGTTTTCTCTATCCTCTATAATGAAAGTAGCATTCAAGAAATTCATTCCAAACACACCCTCCCAAGAATTCCTCCAGGTCAGTCTTGTGATCTTGTCATTTCTTGGGTATCAGCAAAATCCTTTCTTTTTGACATTTTCGTCGTTTTTTGAGCAAATTTTCTAGGGTTTTTTTGTGGGGTTCTGTATATAGTGCCTTTTTGTGCATTTTCTTGAAATTGGAATTCAGAAACAAACATATTTTTAGAACCCCTTTTTTCCTTGAATAAGTTATTTCAAATATTATGCTAAAAATGAAAAAAGAAATTTGATGTTTACACTCTCCATCCCATTTTATGTGTCATTTGTTACTGTCACAAAAGCGGAGCCAAGATTTGAAGTTTATGGGTTCGGGAATCTAATATGTTTAAGTTAAATTAATAAATTATAAATTTTTTAAGACAAATACATGGTTTGGACAAAAGCTACTGGTTTAAGCCGAACCTGTAGGTTGTGTTCTAGCACCGCCTCTCTTGACTTGAGCCCAAGTTAAAGAAAGACAGAAAGACTTTTGAAATATGTGATTTAAAACAAGCCATAGACATCTGTGTAGCTATAAATTATCTCATTAACGATAAAATTTGAATTTTATAGTTAACTATTTCTAGATATAGATATTGAAAGTTGTCATTCTTTTTGGGATAAACCGAAAAGGAAAGTGTTCCACTTAATTGGGACTCAGGGAGTATTTCATTTTTGAGTCCATCTGAGGGGATTTTTGTGGTTTTGTAGTGCCTTTGGATAAATCAAGTGCTTGCCAGTCCACTGTGAAGTATAGTGGAAAGAGAGCTGAATGGGATAGCTTCAAACCGGAGATTAGTGGCCGAAGAGAAATGCCGGAGACATGTGATTATTTTTCAGGGGAATGGGTGTTTGATAATAGTTCATATCCACTGTATAAAGATTCGGATTGTCCTTATATGTCTGATCAATTGGCGTGCCACAAGCATGGCCGACAAGATCTGGACTACCAGTACTGGAGATGGCAACCTCACCACTGCAATTTGAAGAGGTAACATTTTGATTTCCATTAATTTCTTTTCTGCTTTTGTGTAATAGCTCATTTGTAACCAATACCTAAATATAATAACATTAAATAAGCAACTGAATCATTAGATGATAGAATATTCGAATAATTTCTATTTGCCCAAGCCTTGGTAGATAGAGTTACCTACCTGTGCTGGTCGGAAATAACAGTTACCGGGTGGAACAGTCGAGGTGTGCGCAAGCGGCAGGTTGGCCTAGACACCACTTTTACTAAAAAAAGTTGTTAACGTTAATCAAATTATAAAATATTAGATTAGTTAATCTCACCCTATACATGTTTGAATTTTTGAATTATAATTGTAGAAATTGTTGTGTCATGCTTATTACATTTATTGACTTGTTAATGTTGATACACAGGTGGAATGTGACTGAAATGTGGGAGAAATTAAGAGGGAAAAGACTAATGTTTGTGGGAGACTCACTGAATAGAGGACAGTGGATATCGATGGTGTGTCTTTTGCAATCTGTTATTCCTGCTGAGAAGAAGTTCATGACACCACAGGCTCACCTTTCAATATTTAGAGCAGAGGTCAAGTGAATTTTTTTGAGTATATGAGATTTATCATTCTACTAAGTGATCTCAAACTTTATATAATGTCAAGCTTGACTCAATTTATAGGTATCTCGGTATATGCAGATGGTATTGATTATGTCTAGAAAATATAACGACTGTTACTAAATTCATGTGTTTCGGTGTTGATGACAGGAATACAATGCCAGCATAGAGTTTCTTTGGGCGCCACTTCTTGTCGAATCAAATTCTGATGATCCTGTTGATCACAGACTGCCTGAGCGAATACTTCGTCCTGATTCACTTCTTAGGCATTCATCAGAATGGATGCACGCTGATATATTAGTCTTCAATTCATATCTTTGGTGGAGACAGGGCCCTGTTAAGTTATTGTAAGTATGAACTCTAATTAGGTCATGACTTAAGCAGATATGCCAAGACCTAATAATTGACATCTCAGAAAGCTGATAAATGAAAACTTTCAGCTCAAGGAACGATTATTATTTATATATCTAAATAAATTGAAGTTTTGCAAAGAAAGAAGGATTGCTTTCTTATCAGTTCCATTACTTTTTTAGATGGAGTAGCGAAGAAAATGGAGTTTGTGAGGAAATAGATGGGTTGGGAGGCATGGAGTTAGCTATGGAAGCATGGGCAAAGTGGGTGGATTCCAATGTTGATCGCGCGAAGAAGGTCTTTTTTGTCACTATGTCCCCTACGCATTTCACGTAAGTGAGAAGCTCTTCGTTTATTTCTAAAGCTTACTTTAAGTACTTAACTACAAAGGTCTTAACTATATGCCTGCATGGATTTGACTGGATTCCAAAGTTCAGAATCAATTTTGATTGTTATATATGAACTAATTAGGAGATTGGAAGCAGCTTGTTTTGTGTATGTTGATTTTTGCACCTAATATTAAGTAGCTAAATTTAACATTTTTAGTTAGATTGTCAATGCCAGGTGAAACATTGGCGGTGAACTAAACTGATAAAAGATTTGCACCCAACATAATACTCTCATTTCATTTGCGATTGTGCATTTATTGATACGAGTTCATAAATGTCTCACCATTATTTAAAGTTGATGCCGAGTTCCTTCTTCATTTGAAATATTAATTTGGATCCGACATGAAAGATGCTTATCTTGGTTTAGATTTATCTCTTCTCTACAGTAAGAAATCGTGTGTTTTTTTTCTTCTTTCAAAATTCAGGAAACAAGAATGGGAACCAGGAAGCGAAGGAAACTGCTACGACGAGAAGCTTCCAATAAAGAATGGAACATACTGGGGTATAGATTCTGACTTTCCCACAATGCAGATGGTTGAAAGGATACTGGCCAAGTTGGGCTCAAAGGTTAATGTTCTCAACATTACTCAGCTTTCAGAATATAGGAAAGACGGCCACCCTTCCATATATCGTAAGTTTTGGGAGACGCTGACTCCTGAGAAATTAGCAGATCCTGCAAGTTACTCGGATTGCATCCATTGGTGCTTGCCTGGCGTTCCTGATGTATGGAACGAGCTGCTATTTCAATTTTTGTGAAAAAAACAGGTGCACTTTGTAAGTAATCTTTCCACTATCATAGGAGAAAAGAAAAGTTCACACCTTAACGTAATGTACATCTCGAATGAGCACGCCCTTATTTCTACTGTTAGTATTGAAGCAAAATCTTGAACCTCAAGGTAAACCAATTGCAGAGTGAAGAGATGATGCTTCTTTCGTTTGAGTTTCACTTTGATAGTTTGGTGATTCTCAATAACAATGCTGCTGGGAGATAGCAAGTACCCGTTGAAATAGTTGAAGTATGTTCAAACTAGCGGATATCAGCCTTATAGAAAAAAGTCGTTCTTCTGTTTTGCTCGAAATTTTGTTTAAATGAGTGTATACCATGAACCACAGTTGGGGGAATTCAAATTAGAATGTATGAACTTCGCGAAGAGTATCAAAAGCTCATTAGCAGCAAGTCAATTCAGTAAATTGAGGTTCGTGAGCTTAGCCCAAAGCCACTAGCCAAGTCAATGCATGAAAGAGTGTATTCTAGACCTGCAGTATGAGCATTCTTGTATCTTCTAATCTGCTAATATGTTTAGTAATTATGCTACTCTGGCTAATACTTTAGCATTGAACTTGGGAATATTCAGATTGGCCCTTGAAGTTTGGAGTGAGCAGCACAATTATCCACTGAAGTACTTTTATTACTCTTTCTGGTTCACTTTAAGTGATTTTTTGGCTCTTTTAGGACATTTTAAGTAATTCACCTTTTAGCATTAATTAATAATGAAATTGACCATATTTACCTTAATTTGCTCGTTGAAAATATAACAAATTACTCCTAGGCTCTTTATTCCAAAGGCAACTTTGGAAAGTTTATATTAATTCTTTCTTGATATCTGAAAAAATTAAATATTATGGACCACAAAAAATCACTTAAAGTGGACCGGAGAAAAACAAACCACAACCAAACGGACAGTTGAGCATTGTAGAGGTATAAGAGATTTTCATATATGAAATACAGTGGAAAAGTTTTACACTGTCAGACGAAATGATCAAGATATGGAGATGGGTCAAGCACATTCTTAGTTTACAAAATGTATTAATCATGAAGGTGCATTTGAACACTTCAAAATCCAAGAATGAAATATGACTTTTTAGAGAATGCAGAAACTTACTGAAATTGAAAACAACGGAAAGATATATCCCTTCCGATCGAATAACCAATTTAAGTACAAGATTTCAAAGTCTCTAATTTTTCGTGTGCTCAAAGTCAAACATTGATTCCTTAATTCGTTTAACTCAAAACCGAACTAATTATAATTAAATAATAGATCATAATTCTTTATAACAAATATATTGAAGAGTATCTGGAAAATTGTTGAAAAAAGGAGAAAATGGTACAAAATAACAACTACTCATATATAATCTAAATAACAAAATTTGGCGCCCTAAGTGTCGGTACAGTATAATGTTAGGAAAGATATTTTATTGAAGAACTCGCATTCCAGCCGTTAATTTAGTTGATAGCCAAACAAAATTTACCTTTCTTATTCTTCCCCACGTATCTAAAAAGCCAGATTCTATTCACCTTCTTCTTCTATCCAAAATATTTTTTTTTCTTTCCCAAGCAACAATGGCGTCTGCTCTTTACCACCAAAATAATCCCTTATTTACGCAGTCTCTTCACCAAAAAAATTATAATTACAGTTATTTCTGTTATTCTACTATTCTTCCGCTAAAGAGTATTAATACTAACTACTCAACTCGACTGCGTACTACACTAATCAAATCTTCTAGGGACAAAAATCGTATTGTCCTATCCGAAACTTCTGTCGATAATACCAATTCCAATTCTGATTCGGGAGAAAGTCGGGTCAAGAGTCCGGATCCTGACCCAGGACCCGATTCGGACCTTCCATCCTCGTCATCGTTGTTGGATTCAGTCTCTTCCCTGCTGAAATTAGATGGAATTGGATGGGAGATTATGTCCATTGCGTTGCCCGCGGCGTTAGCTCTTGCTGCTGATCCCATTACTTCACTTGTTGATACTGCATTTGTTGGACATTTGGGTACTTTTTTACTATCCCTTCTTTGTTATGGTTATGTTCTCCAGTGAGCTGATATTTAATTTAATTCCAATCCTGCCTCTGCCAAGGGATCATAGTAGAACAATATGACTAGCTGATAGCTGTGTGATTTAAACTAGCTGCTGAAACGGGGTAATTTGTGGATGGTCACTCAACTTTTACTTCATTGCACCAAATTCACTAAATTATTTTTTTAATGAGAAAGTTACTCAACTTTGTCTAAGTATCACATAAAGTCGCTAAATATTTTGTAACAAGTCATTCAACTTTGCCTAAGTATCATGCAAAATGTCTCGTTTGTTTCCTCCTAGTAACTGTTATGTAAGACGTTGAATGACTTTTGGGTTACAAAAAATAGTTAAATTTTGTGATACCTAGGTAAAGTCAGTTGCTTTTTTGTTACAAACAAAAGTTTAGTTACTTCGGTGCAATACGGTGAAAATTGAGTCATCATCCATGAAATTAACCCTGAAGGAACCGTTACTTAACTTGTTTGACTTAATGTGAAATAGTTACTAGGATTAAGATGAAAGTTAAAAATGTGCTTTACTTACTATTTACAATTTGGTAAATTTAAAACTAGTTCAAATACTGTATAAGTGGGTTGCAACTAAAGTTTAGTTTGAAGACTGGGTCCCACTTTAAGAAAAAAAGTATTGTTCCGACATTGCTGAAATAAAGTAGGAGAGGATAAAATTTTGAAATGATGAAGTACAACATTCTGGTCCATGTTTCATGTTTGTCTTACTTATCTATGCATGTGTTTTGTAGGATCGGTTGAATTGGCAGCAGTAGGTATTTCTGTATCAGTTTTCAACCTCATATCGAAATTATTCAATGTTCCTTTGCTCAACGTCACAACTTCTTTTGTTGCTGAAGAGCAGGCATTAATTGCTAAAGGTGACAGTGGTCTTTTGTCAAAGCGCTACTTTTAATTTATCAAACATTCTGCATTTACCTGATATGGGTTATATTTTTTTCTTTAATTAGGTCGCTCACCTGATTCACAAAGCAAAATACTACTTCCTTCAGTATCAACTTCTTTGCTACTTGCTCTTGGCCTTGGCATTGCAGAAGCTGTTGGACTTTCTTTTGGCTCCGGTTTCCTGATGAATACCATGGGTATATCTGTTGTATGTCTTAATTTGGAAAACAAATTTATCTTCTAGCATGAGGGCTAAATTCTTCTCTTCCAATTCCCAAGTCGTAAGCTATTGAGGCCTTTTTTGTTCGGGCAATATATCTTGGAGAATGACATAGTGACAATCAGATCTCAGAGATGCCACTTGGATTTATGCTTCCCCTATTCCCGTGCATTAGTATAAAGCCCATGTGTCTTGATGTTTGCTGAAGATCTTCAATGTAAATCCATTTGGGATTGTTGATGTGTTGCAGGATTCACCAATGCGTGTACCAGCTGAGCAATTCCTTACAATGCGGGCCTTTGGAGCTCCACCAATCGTAATAGCACTTGCTGCTCAAGGAACATTTCGTGGATTTAAGGACACAAAAACTCCTTTATATGCTGTTGGCAAGTATCAAAGATATCCAAATACTTCTCTAATCTACATAAAACAAAGGCCACTTGGAAGCTGTCCTGGCATCTTGTGTCTAATATTCAAATTTCATAAATATTATTTATGGATTGTTGGTAGATAACTGCTTCAAGCTGTTTATTGCTGTTTGGATATTGACTTCACGAGCTCATTGGGAAAGTTGAGATGCAAATATTTTGTGTATATGGACCACTCATTTAGTTGAGCTAAATCTGTTTATTAAACCTCAATATATAGTAAGCTTTCAGACATAAGTACCGTTCCAACAATATAGGTGGTCTAGGCACTACTTTAGATTTTGACTTCATTTGATTTTATATATCTTGGAAGAGAAAAATTCATATAGGTGATACCTACTAGTTGTGAATAGGTTTTAGACTTGGTAGTTGGTAGAGAACTTTATTATTACTATTATATATATACTTATTTATTTTACTTGCATTTTTATTTTATTTTATTTTAGTAATTATGATGATATGAATTGAGCTAAATGAAAGGAATGAACATGTTTATTGCCGACCCCAACTTGTTTGGGACTGAGGCGTAGTTGTTGTTGTTTTGATTTTATATATCTTGAATAAGTAGGGATAAGATCTAACATTTATTAAAGACTTGTTTAGCTTAGTAAACTAGGAAAACAACTCTTGAAAATGCTACTACCTTGTAAGACGGGCTAGAGTATGGTTTTATATTAACAAATTATTGTCTTCGCTTGATGGCATATCTCGGCTCCCGCTTCAGTATGGTCTGCTAAATACGGCTCTTTTTTTGTTATGTCCCAAATATTTAAGTATAATCCTTCCTTAATGCTTCTACTTCTATATCTGACAAAGAACAGTTCTGGATTGTCAGGAGCTGGTAACTTGCTAAATGCATTATTGTCTCCAATTTTGATATTTCCCTTTGGTTTTGGTATTAGTGGGGCTGCAACTGCTGCTGTGATATCTGAGTATGTTGGTGATGCGGTAAACCTTTACTTTGTACATGATATAACTTCCTGTCCACTTTCTCTATCTTATTTTTTGTTTGATCTACATTTTTACCAGATACTTGTCTGCTTTTATCCTTATGTGGAAGTTAAACGAAAAAGTACTTCTTATTGCTCCAGACGTTGACGTGGGAAGATTTGCTCAGTATCTTAAATCTGGTACTTTCCTGCAAACTGTCAAAACGACACCTGAATCAGGATATCTTTTGTAGTTAACAAAGAAAATTTTGATGAAAAGGCTCCCATTTTGTGTGGATAATGTTTTTGACACAATAGTCAAATATGTCCAACTGAATCTCCTATAGCAGCAGCTAGTGAAACTTGAAATTGGTATATCTGCATATAAATCTATGAATAGTTGAAGATGAATACTTCAAATGAGAAAATGATTGAAGATGTGAATATGATTTCATTCAAATATGAAGATTGAGTAATGGGAGAATGACGAAGGTACAGCAAATTAAGTTTAAAAAAAACTATAATGATTTGATCTATTCCATGATACTTCATAAATACAATCTCTTGCCTTTAATGAAACTAACAACTTTTATAGATTCTTTAGATCTGTTTCAAGAAAAAATGTAGATTGAAAGGATTACTTATACCAAACATATAAAGTAGCATTTGGTCTTTAAGCGACTGCAGAATATTTTTCTATGTCTGAACCCGTGGAAAGATAACTAAGAGTTTCTCTTGTGGACTTTATCAAAACACATCAAAATGCTCTAGGTTAAGCTTATTCAAAATGAAAAGATCGAACCTATCTTAGGTTAATCTTGTTCTTATCTTTTCCAGGTTCCCTTCTAATAGGGAGGACTTTAGCACTTCTAATTACCACTACGCTATCAACAGCAATGGCAGCACAAGAGGGCCCCGTTCCTATGGCTGGTCATCAGATCTGTGTTCAAGTTTGGCTAGCTGTATCATTGCTAACTGATGCCTTGGCACTTGCTGGACAGGTGAGCATACTTTGACTAAACTATTTGTTTTCTTTGCCATCATTTCTGGCTTTATTGAATAATTTTCAGAAAATTTTTCAGCAGCTCTGTTTTTATGTCTCAGTGAAAGCCAAATACTATTCAATTTTATTAGTGATTAGGACCTCAATTGTGCTTCCCTGTAACAGATGGAACTGCATCATATAACTCCTGAATCTCTTCTTTTAATTTCTTTTTTTTTTTTTTTGGTTGTCACTTACCTATGAAGTCACAGGCTTTTCTTTAACTGAAGTTCCCAACGAGGTCATATTTAGACAATTTCCATGGAATTATTTCCTGCAATCTTTAGTTGTGAAATAGGAGTTTAGTCTTTCGATGCTTTTTTTATTGCATTCTTATTCTGTTGATTTTTAGGCTCTCCTTGCCAGTGGAGTTTCTCAAGGTAATTATGGCCAAGCACGAGAAGTGGTTTATAAAGTTCTACAGGTAACTTGGTTTCCTACTCCAGTACTCTTTATTAATTCTCAACCCTAATTACTGACTCAGCTTGTAAGAGAAAACATTAAGAATAGAATATTGACTTACTACATCTTTTACTCTTTATGTGAATTATGTCAGATTGGTGCATTGACAGGAGTCACCTTGGGTTTTAGCTTGTTTGTTGGTTTTGAAGCGCTCTCCGGCTTATTCAGCTCAGATTCTGAAGTCCTGGAAATTGCCAGATATGGTACTCTGGTATGAAAGTCTTATCCAGATTTCTCAGCATTTTTCCGGTGGATTTTGAACCCCAAAACTGTAGCATGTTCCCCAAAGTTGACATATATTTATGTTAGACTACAATTCCTGCTTTGCACCAGCTAGGTAATTTCTTTATCATGAAATTGTTTTGGTCATTTAGAAGTAATTACACAGCTGTCATTTCTAAACTTGTATAAAGTTGTCGGGTTTCCTTATCTAGACTTGATATTTGAATGATAAATTAAACTACTCATTCTTTTCTTATTAATATGATTTGTTGGACAGTTTGTTGCTGGATCTCAGCCAATAAATGCCATTGCCTTCGTTCTTGATGGGCTCTATTATGGTGTTTCAGACTTCGAATTTGCTGCATATTCTATGGTAACACATTTCTGCACCTTTCTTCAGAAAATAGTATTCTGACCTGCGCAACCAGAAATAGAGCCAGAGTAGAATCAAAGTGAGAAGCAAGAATGTAAACTTTTACACTGGAACACCTACTAAATGTTTAGATATATACTTAGTTTTTGCTTTAATTGAATAACTATTAGCACCAGCGGCAAATTAAAAGGAAAATATTAGGCAGAGTCTATATGGTTCAATGAGGTGATCAGAATGTTGAACAAAAGAAATCTTTATATGATATTTGTATTTCTGGTTAGGCTTTTGCTTTTTCAGTAACATTATGTAAGAAGACGCCTGGAAGGAAACGTCTAGAGAAGAGTTAAAACAGGATCAAGCAATAAGTTGTCCTGGAAGCTGATTATGCATAGTAATGAATTATTGTCCCAACTCCCAATGTTGGTTGCTACATGTTCTAGGGCCTTTGTTACAAATGAATAAAGTAAAGACTAGAACATACATTTCAATTTGAGTTGGCTGGCTTTTAGCCAATCAGTGAGATGCTGCTTGAACATTCTTGTTGGTGTATCTAATTGAATGTGATCCAAACACCAATTGGGGAAAAAAGATGATGGATTTGGAGTGTGTCCTACATTATGACCAACAAGATAAATATCGTTAGGTTATGTTCTCTCCTTCTGATTCAGCTTCCTATATTTGTCAAACAGTTTCTGATTGGACTAGTCTCCTCAATCTTCTTACTTGTGGCTGCACCATCATTTGGTCTTCCTGGAGTCTGGGCGGGACTTTTTCTCTTCATGACTTTGCGTGTTGTAGCTGGATTTTTGAGGTAAATCTCTGTGTCTATCTCTTTCGTCAACCTTAGAGAGAATTTTGGTAATTTTACAAATTGAACCAAGTTGCATTTTATCGTATATGCTGTCTTAGTTTTTTCATTTAGTTAATGAAGTGGCAGTCTTAGTCAGTTGCTTAATGCTGTAACGAATAGTAAAAAGCTCTTTGTTTTCCATTTTGACTGTATTAATCATTAATTGAAAGTTGTAGGTTGAATCAAAGCCTCAAATTTCTGTATATTTCTAGGGAAAAAACAATGGCGTTTGAGTCATAATATTTCTGTTGTAGCTTGGTTTATTTGATTTTTGTCCTTGAGTGTTTGAGTCATAATATTCCACTTGCAGCAAGGTGAACAGAATCTATTTTAGTAATGCAGGTTATTAATCTCTCCAGTGATCATCATTAGTCTCTTTGGTACAATTAGCTTTAAGAACTCTCCTATGGCCTAGTTACCGGCCAAGTGGTTACGCCTCTAAGTCACCATAAAATGGAAAATGGTCTAAATCGTTATGTTCATGTCATAGCCTTTTCTTTTCTGTAGTGTTACCTTTCAGCGAGAAATTTTTGACAAGTACTTGTGAATAGCAGGTTACAAACAAGAGATGGACCATGGAAATTTCTTCGGTCGGATATGGAAGAGGATGGTGTCTGACTTTCAATGAGCAAGTGATTGATTCTCTATAATCGTCGGCAAACTCTATTAGGCTTATGCTAAGGATTGTGTGAATTGCTGATCATACTTTACACAGGCTTTTACAGATCTTGGCAAAATTCAACTCATGATTTCTGGAAGACATTCTACAGTACAGGCTGTTGATTTCATCAGTCTCTTTGGTCTGTACTGAGGGACTGACGATTTATGTTTTTGAGACCGCTATTGTGGAGGTTTCAAGAACAACCATCTTTTTTAAAGACCTATGATCAAGCTACATCATCTCACTGACCATTTGAAAAGTCTAGCTACATTCCAACTTGGAAAAATTTCCTTTCCTTTTTCTCCATGTTGTAAAATAATTCAAAGAGAGAAGACTTTGGATCATCAGCCAAGTGATACTTGTAAAGTTGAATAGCTTATTTGACACATAATTGTATACTAATTTAAAAGAGTATCATTCTTCATGCACTCTCTCTTTCTGGATAAGTTTGCTCTGCATTCTCATTCTTCAAGATTTTGTTATTTCCTATTTTGGTGTTGAGACAGCATTTGTAAGCTCCAAAACCTGCTTAAACAAATGGGCTGAAATTACCAATTTCAGAACCCAAATCAGTAGCTACACCATATAATAGGAGGAGTAGATATTTCATTTGAAGTTTTACCAGCTTTATGTATTTCCTTTTCTTGTAGTACTGAAGTAAAACATACAGAAAAAATGCATGCTTAATTTTATTTTATTTTGTTTTTCTACAGAGAAGTCATAGGCTCATAGCTCCCTTTACTGGATTGCGGATATTCCGGCTATGAGATCATACCAAAATACCATCTCAGGTTTTGAGTCGACATTCTTGATAGATGAAAACATGATCAGTGAGAATTCATATAGTCGACCCTAACTTGTTTGGAATTGTGGCAATGGTGTAGTAGTAACTAAAATAGAATCTACATGATCTTAAATGGCACATGATAAAAGGCACATTTCAGAATACAAAATATCTTTTTGCTCTTCCTCCTCTAGGCATCTTCTTTTCCAGACAATTGACTTCGGAAATATTCTTAACCGACCATGTTAACAAGGTCAAAGGGAAAATATCAAATGCAAACCATGTGCAATATTACTGAGAAAGATTGATGAGAATAAAGTGCAAGATTGAGATTCCTCTTTGAAACACTAATCCCATAGAGATTCTTTGAATGTGTGAGATCTCTCTAAAAGCTTATTTTTGCCTTCCCAATTTGTTCTTAAAACTTTAACCTTGTTTTTAATATTGCACCATTAGAGGGGTGCATTTGAAAGTCTACATAAGACATGACCAACTATCTCAAGTGATATTTTTCTCATTTATTCCTCTAGTTGTGCTATTTGTAAATCCCGTCAGAGATGATCATTTTTAATTTTCATTAATTTCGAACGACCAAAATATCCGCAGTAGAATTTGCATTTCTGATGTGAACTATTCTTATATTCCCACATAAAAATGCTAGTCTCATGTCTATTTCATAGAAGAGGTATACAAAGAAAAATTGTGTAACATTATTGTTGTAGCTCAATCCTTCATTTTCAGTTTTTCACATAGGTTGGTATAAAGATGATCGAGACAATGAAAAAACAGACAAAGATATGGCAAGAAAAATGTGTTGAATATACATATATAATGGAAACCATAAATAGACTTTAATTTATGGAGAAAATGGACCACGAAAGCACCATAACAAGTGGTATAACATTATTGTTGATCCTCAATCTCCTATTTTCACATAGGATGTTTCAAAATTAGCTTCAGCAAAATGCCCCTTCATTTTTTTATCCCACTCTATTTCACCTCAATATAAACACTTTATATACATAGCAGCAATTTAAACAGTTATCCACCCCCCCC